GTCGGCTTTGCAATAGGTGGCTATATGCCCATACTTTTGACATCTGTAACATCGCTGCACTGGGATGAATGGGGTGACTCTACTGGAGGACCAGTTTAGGTACACTCGTTCTTGGTTAGTCATGATTTTATAAAGCCTGCCGGACACCTCCAAAACCCAGTTCACCTGATCGACTCTTTTCGGGCCAGTCCTGAACCTCCATTTATGTTCCCTGTCAAAATCCTCCTTAGATATGTCATTCTTGTAATTCTGCTCCCAAAAATCCCTGGAGAGGTCCCTTTCCGCATAGATGATTTGGAGGTCATAAATCAAAAGGAGAGGCCTCTTGGTTTTGGACTTCTGACTTCAGCAAGGTCCTCCATCACCCTTTTAGCACTCTCGGCCTGCTGCTCATCCAACAGCGTCTGACACACTGAGTCACATCTCTGCTCGAGCTCTCTTCTCGAATCTGCTTTAATTACAAAGGCCACATCATCCACGAAGGCGATAGGTACTACCCATTCCGGATAATCTTTCTGAAGCAAAACATCGAATGTGAGGTTCCATAGTATCGGACCTAAAACCGATCCCTGAGGGCATCCCAAATCCATGGCCCTTGAGATAGTGTCTCCATCATGTTCCATAAAGACCGTCCTGTCCTGCAGACAGTTTCTAATAATAGCTGTGATGTTTCGTGGCACATTTAATCTGTTTAGTGTGTCTATGATGGTGTGCCACCAAAGAGAGTCGAAGCTGGAGCCCTGGATGTCAATCATCAATGCTGCAACATATCTTTCGTTTGCATTTCTTGTGGTGGTGATTAGTTCACAAATCGCATCATTTGTGCTTCTGCCCTCTCTAAATCCGAACTGCCTCTCACTTAGCAGGTTGTGTCCTTCAATGTAGTCTGTAAGCCTCTTGACAATCATCCTCTCAAAAATCTTTCCACCCACCGGTAGAAGGCTAATTGGTCTATAAGAGTTAGGCAGTGTCCAATCCCTTTGTCCGGCCTTTTTAATGATCTTAATTTTGCCGGTTTTCCAAACTTTGAGAAATGTGGCTGAGAGCCAGCACTTGTTATAGACTAAAGATGTTGCTTGTTTTCCTGGCTGAGCTCTTTGAACACTTCGGCAGGTATCTTATCCTGGCCTGGTGCACTTTTGTTCTTAGCCTTGGCCAGAGCCATGACAAGTTCTGAAATTCTGAAAGGTGGCTCAGTTGAAGTTGAAGTAATGATCCTGTTAATGAAAACTTCCCGTAGCCTTCGCTGCTCCTGATTTTCCTCCTGTTCCCCAGAGTCCACAGGAACAAGCTTGTCCAGCAACAGAGTAATTGTCTCAAGATTGGATTGAGTATATTCTGCTCCTCTTTTGAGCGTGGTGAGAATATCGTAGGGATCCTCATTGACAGAGTCCCTAACAAACAGTTCCTGTCTCTCTTAGCTCTTCTTAGCTCAGATTTCTATCTATTTTCAGCTCTACGAAAAGCAGCTAGCTTGAAAAGCTTTATCCTGCACTCGCAGCATCGTTGGAAGACTTTCCTGGAGTGGTTGGCTTCTCTTCTGAGAATAGTATGTTGGTTTGTCCACCACGGTACGACCTTAGAACTTGTCCTTCTCATCGGGATAGAGCCATTGCAGGCTCTAGCAATTGCTTCGTTAGTTTGTCTTGCAAGCTCTTCTGTCTCTTCAAAATTGCAATTGGCCAGCTGCGGCCGAAGCATGAGGTTCAGGCGATTGTAGTCTGCCTTGCGCATGTGGTAATTGCACTCTTTGTATTGAATCTTGGTGAATTTGAGTTCAATTTCGAAAGTAATCAGCCTGTGATCACTTATACTCTTGTTCTCATGAACTGTCCAGTTTACAATCCTTTCGTACAGATTTCTTGATGTTAGAGTAAGGTCAATATTGGTTCCCGTTTTGTGGGTAGGTGGTTGTCCAGGTAAGTTTGCATTGTGCAGATTGTTATTTGTTATGAAGTCATTCATCAGGGCACCCTTTGGGTCTTCTTCAGACGAATGCCATGCTGGAGAGTGGGCGTTGGCATCAACGCAGACCAAAATCATGTTATTCCGTTCCTTATTAAGGATAGCCTGTAGATGGTCGATGTAAGGCTCAATTACCTCTTGGAATTGAAAATATGCAGAGATGATAACTAGAGGTCCAATTGTGGTATTGGTCTTGATGACCACAAAGTTATCGTTGCAGTATTCAGCCATTTTTAATGGTTCAAAGGCTGTCTTACAAACAAATGCAGCATAGTGCCTTTGTCCGTGAGGGGCACCTCCAACAACTGTGTTTGAGCTAGATAGTCCAAAGCCTTTGACATCGCCTCTATAACAATAGGGCTCCTGGGTTAGTAAAAAATCAATATTTAATTCGTTGATAATTTGTCTTACTTCGTGGGAAGCATTAGCTGAATTTTGTAGATTCAACTGTCCAATAAGAATGGAGTTTTGGGTCCTGTTGGAAGGATAGTTCCTTGTCTGATCTGATTGAATATCATTCATATGCGGTCAGATTTGTTGACACGTTCTACTTCCTTTCTGTAACATGGACAGTTTGTTGAATTTACACTGTGCGCTGCATTTAACTTGCTATTTAGACAATTGGAACATTTGAAGTTCCAGTTTTTCTCTGGGCAGTTTTTAAATGTGTGGCCTTCTTTAGCAAAATGCCCGCAGGTGTCAGTTGTGGCCTTGCATGTGAATGCAAGATGCCCGTACTTCTGGCACTTGAAGCACCTTGTTACTATGTGATAATCGATTAGTTTGCAGGACCTCCATCCCATGAAGACCCTGCTTCCATTTGCCATGACTTGCTTGCGTATGTCCTTGTCAATTTCCAAGACCCATTGTTATGTTGATTGACCTTTTGGTCCGGTCTTGAAAATTAGTTTGACCTTGGCTGCAAATGCTTGCTCTTCAATATCAGGGAAGTTTTGGGTTCTGATCTTTTCAATACATTCCTTAGGATCAGATTCAGCCGGAACATCGAACAATTTCATTTTGGGCCTTCTCTTGGCCGGTTCTTGGGAATCAAGTGTGTTGCCAAGTTTATCTTTTAGGAGATCAAGCTGCTCCTTATGAATCTCGATAGCAACCCCTCCATTCCTTATTTTAGACAGTCTCTTGATCCTCAATCCCTGCTGTTCGGGATTTAGGTTTTTCTTCAACTTAGCTTTGGTATCCTGTGAGGTCATGGAGCCCTCTTTGGGGTAAACTAGCAAACCCCTAGTTTGATCTTGGATGACCTTAGATCGGGAAGAGGTTGAGGTGAGAGCTCCAGCATAGCTTTGTGGTCGGGATTGGTGGTTTGTCTTCTGATTCAATGGACTATTAATAGCCTCTACAATTCTCCTTGTCACCTCGGTGGTAATGTCACTGGTTAGCTTGGCGAAGTCAGTGTGACTTGATGGCTCATAAGTGTTTGCCCTTTTAGATTGCTTAACCAGTTCATTGTATTTGCCACGAAATTCCAAGAACTCCTGTGGTTCGTGGTTTTATGTATCTTTGAGGCCTCCCCTTCGGGGCTCAAAAGAATGCTTCTCTTTGTTTATTTTCCCTTGTCTCCCTGCTTGGGGGGGAGGTAATGCCGAGCTTGATGCTGTCTGATGTTTAGATATAACATCTCTGATGTCCGTAGGGACTTCTAATAGTGGTACCTCAAATCGATTGATTAGGGACCTGTTAAGAGTGTTTCCACGTGGGATGTAGTTTTTAGGTGAGTCATTTCCTGACAGGTGCGCCATTATGCCAGTGGTCTAAGTACAGATCTTCTGGTAGTCTTGATATTTACAAGTGTGTATGTACAATATTTACAAGTTGGAATTGGTCCTCTGATTTAGCCGTGATTTGGTTTTCTTGGAAATGAGAATTCTTCTTGCCAATATCTACCTCTTTTTGATTGCCCTTGTTGGCCGTACCTGGGATTTTTATTGCCCCTATGAGGGGTTACCCAGGTTTCGTGTCCGACTGCGACCTTCGGGGAGGTAGGGCAAAGCCACTGGTAGATGTGAACTTTTACTTTAGTTTTGTCTTATTCGGTTTTGCAGAATAGGAAGGGGGGGTGCCTTGGTGTAGAATGTTGTTCATCCAGAAGGTAACTCGTACCTGCAAACAGTGAAAATCCTTATTCTGCTACATAGTGATTTTCCATTTACAATTTAAGCAAAGTGTAACCTTCTCTGTATTTCGGTTTGTTTTTCGCACTTAAACGTATGGTATCACTATGTTTCACTGTGGCCCGCGGCCAGTAGATAGGGACACTTCACTTTTTTCACTTCTTTCTATACTTACACCAAGTACCTATCAGTTGAGACATACCTTGGCATTCTGCCTCTTGGTGTATAACTCTTTCTTTAAACTTTGACTTTGTTTCTAATCATTTATCTGAAATTTTATTTATCATACAGGGGTGTTTGACATGCAGCATGCTGCCCGTTGTTTTTTTCCTTTCCAGCAATGAGTTCAGCCAGGGGGCCCACGGGTCCGAGGTCCACTGGGGGTTGAGTTGTCTTGTCCGGGATTTTTCTCGAGTCGGGTAAAGTCGACGACTCGTTGTCCTCTTCAGGGTGGTCTAGACGTCTCTTCTGCGGTGGATCTCCTTCCAGGTGCTCAGGATCTTCTTGGCAGTATCGGCGTCCTCAAGGCAGGTGGCGAAGCTCCATGGTCGTGAGAGTCCTTTTCGTGTTATCTCGATTTCCAGGTTGGTCCTTAAGTCCAGATGAGCTGGACACTCCATGACGGCATGTAGCGGGTGATCCTCCTCTCCGCAGTCAAGGCAGCCACTGGATTCTCTCTTGTTGAAGTGGAGCAAGTATGTTCCAAAAGCACCATGTCCCGTGATGATCTAGATGGTGGAGTTCTCTAGGAGATGTGAAAGATCACTGGTAGCAATCTCCGGAAGCAGAGAGTAAGTGTGGTCTTCCGGTGTCAGATCTGTCCCACTCCTCTTGCCACTGGCGCAGGTGTCTTCCTATGACATCATTCTTGGAGTCAAGAAGTAAGCCTTTTCTAACTTTCCAAAGGTCTAGGTCCATTTGCAACTTTATATCTATGGGCATGTTTCCAGTAGCGGCACACAGAGCTTGAAGAGGTGTGGTGCAGTAGGCTGTAGTTATGCATATGAGAACCCGCCTTTGAGCCTCCCTGATTTTTCGTTTTACATGAGTGTGTCCTATCCTGAATTCCCAAGCTCTTGATCCATAACTGAGGATGGATAGAAATACTGTGGTGTAGAGGAACTTCAGTTGGGAGAACCTTACTCCATATTTCAGTCTGATTGTTCTTGCTATCGAGTTAAACATGTTGATAGCCTTTTCACTAACTTCTTTTACATAAGATGAGAAAGTAAGATTATGGTCAAGAGTTACTCCAAGGTACTTTACTTTGTTTACGAAAGTGATAGTGTTGTTGTCCAGTCTGACTATTGGGTTTCTCGCCATTTTACCTTTAATTATGATTCGAACCGTCTTCGAGGTGGAGAGTTTCATCTTTGCACCTTTGCCCAATCTGAAAGGATGTTGCAAGTCGATTCACACTTGTGCTCAAGTTCTCTTCTGGAGTCTGCCTTTATGACATATGCAACGTCATCGGCAAAGGCTATTGGTGTGACACCTTCCATGTAATTCCTTATCAGCAACTTGTCAAAAGTGATGATCCATAACAAAGGTCCGAGGACTGATCCTTGAGGACATCCAAGATTCATGTTCCTTGTCACAGAGTCACCATCATGTTCCAGATAAACAACCCTGTCTTGCAAGTAATACTTAATAATTGTAACAGTGTTCCGAGGAACATTCAAATCGTTCAGAGTGTCAATAATAATTGGCCACCACAAGGAGTCGAAGGCTCCTTGGATATCAACTAGCAGTGCTGCCACATATTTTTCGTTTGCCTGTCTAGTGGTTGTAACCAATTTACAAACCGCATCATTGGTACTCCTGCCTTCTCTGAACCCATATTGCATATCACTCAATAAGTTGTTTCCCTCGATGAAGTCAGTTAGTCTCTTCGCTATCATCCTTTCCAAAATCTTACCGCCCATAGGGAGTAAACTGATCGGTCTGTATGAATTTGGAAGTGTCCAATCCCTTTGTCCAGCCTTCTTGATAAGTTTGATTCTGCCAGTTTTCCAGATCTTTGGGAAAATCGCAGAGATCCATCACTTATTATAAATGTTCAATAAGTGGAGTTTGTTGTCATAGCTAAGTTCTTTGTAAACTTCGGCAGGGATTCTATCTTTATCTGGGGCTCGCTTGTTCTTGGCTTTTGCCAGGGCATTGTCTAGATCAGTCATTCTGAAAAGCAGCTCAACAAATGTAGATGTTATTGTTCTGTTATCAAAAGATTCTCGCTGTCGTAGCTGCTCCAGGCTTTCCTCTGGCACCTCAGAATCCACTGGGACAAGCTTCTCCAGCAAAAGCGTCATGGTCTCTATGTTTGTTTGAGTGTATTCTAGACCCCTTTTGAGTGTCATTAATATGTCTTTGTTTCTTATTTTATTAGCACTCAATTTATAAGCTAAGCTATACGGATCTTCATATATAGAGTCCTTCACAAAGAGTTCCCAAATCTCCTGCTTAGCCCGCTTCAGCTCTGACTTGTACCTTCGCTGGGAACGTCTAAAAGTAGCTAATTTGACCAGTTTGGCCCGACACTCACAACATCTCTGAAAGGCCCTTCTAGAATTGTGTGCTTCATTTCTCAGAGTGGTTAGATGTTGTGTCCACCAGGGTACAGTTTTGGTACAGGTCCTTCTCAGAGGAATTGAAATATTGCAGGCCCTTTCAATTGCATCATTTGTTTGTCTTGCAATTTCATCAGGTTCGTTTGAGTTGGTATTTATTAATTGCGGTCGTAGTACATCGTTTAAACGATCATAGCTTGCCTTGCGTAGTTTATAATTGCTTGCTATGGTAAGGGTTTTTGTTAGCTTTAGCCTAATTTCAAAAGTCATCAATCTATGATCACTTAGGCTGATGTTTTCATGAACTGTCCAGTTTATTATCCTATCATATAGATTTCTGGACGCCAAGGTGAGATCAATATTTGTACCTGTCTTGTGCGTGGCAGATTGTCCAGCTCTGTTGACTATATACAAATTGTTGTTTGATATGAAATCATTCATTTGAGCTCTCTTTTGATCTTCAACACTTGAGTGCCACGCCGGAGAGTGAGCATTGGCATCAACACACAAGTAACATATTGTTCCATTATTTGTTTAGAATCATCTCCAATTGATCGAGGTAAGGATCAATTTCATCTTGAAACTGGAAGTAACTAGATATAATGACTAGCGGTCCAATTGAGGTGTTTGTCTTTATCACCACAAAGTGGTCGGTGCAATATTCAGACATCTTAAGTGGTTCGTATAGTGTCTTGCATACCACTGCAGCAAAGTGTCTTTGCCCTTGTTGGGCTCCTCCAACAACTAGATTTGTGTTGGATAAACCAAAACCTTTAATGTCTCCTCTGTAACAGTAGGGCTCCTGAGTTTGTAGAAAATCAATGTCCAACTCATTTATGATTTGCCTTGCTTCATGTGATACATTGGCAGAGTTTTGTAGATTTAATTGTCCCATCAATATGGTGTTTGGAGTTGTACTTAAAAGGGGGTCCTTGCCATTCCTGATGAGTTGTTAATCATATTCAGTTTGCGCTTTGGCACGTTCCACTTCCTTTTTGTAACAGGGACAATTTACAGAGTTTACATTGTGTGATGGATTTAGATTGCTCTTAATGCAATTGGAACATTTGTAATTCAAATATTTCTCAGGGCATTCTTTGAAAACATGGCCTTCTTTTGCGCAATGTCCGCAAGTATCAGTGGTTGCTTTACATGCTGCCGCAAGGTGCCCGTACCTCTGGCACTTGAAACACCTTGTGACAATAAAGTAGTCAGTAATTTTACAGGACCTCCAGTCCAGGAAGACTCTTCCATCATTGTCTAGGATTTTCTTTCTTAAGTCCTTTTCTACATCAAGTACCCACTACTCAGAAGATTGTCCCTTTGGGCCTGTCTTGAAAATGAGTTTTGCTCTAGTAGTAAAATCATCCTCCTGGATGTCCTGGAAGTTTTGAACTCTGATCCTTTCTAAAATGCCTTTTGGATCTGATCCAGTTGGCACATCATATAGTTTCATCTTTGGCCGTCTTTTGGCCGGTTCTCGGGTTTGAAGGTCATTGCCGAGATTTGCTCTGACAAAATCCACTTGTTCCTTATGAACCTCAATGGCGATTCCTCCATTTCGTATCTTTGATACTCTCTTTATTTTAAAACCCTGTTGTTCTGGGTTTATTGATTTTCTGATTTCAGCTTTTGTTTCCTCTGAGGTTTTTGTTCCCTCCTTGGGGTACACTAAAAGAACTTCAGTTTGCTTAGGTTCTTCTTTTCTTAGTCGCTTTGCAGATGAGCCAAGAGCTGAAGCATAGCTTGTTTGGACAAGGTTGAGGGGCAAACGACTGACTCTGGATGGCTTCTACCACTCTTTTGGTGACTTCGGAGGTAATATCGGAAGTCAGTTTGCTTATGTCTATATCAGGTGTTATGTGAGACACCGCAGTCATCTTGGATTGCTTTGATAGCTCCTTGTATTTGCCTCGGTTTTCTAGGAATTCTCTATGGAGTTTTAAAAATCCTTTCTGGATGACATCTGAATTCGCATTCATCCTTTCGGCATGAGCTTTGGTTACGGATCTGTTCTGTTTGCTTAGTGTTCTCACTAGAGAGGACATATTCTTTAAATCAGATATTACCTCCATGTGCTCAATTGACATGTTCTGTAGTTGCTCTGGGTTACAAAGCACATCTTCTTCCTCGTCAGTATCGTCATTTGCATTACAGTTTTCACTGTCAGTTTCACATGTCTCACTTGTTGTCTTGTGTCTGTTATTGACTTCTTCCCCATCGGGGCTGCTTTGTTGATGGCATCTCTTGGATCTTACATTCCTAATAGCTTATAGGGACATTTTTTTTCACTTATCTCTGTTCCTCCACCAAGTACCTATCTTTCAATATACCTTGGTTTCATTTCTCTACTTTTCTTGGCATTCTGCCATTTGGTGGGAACTTGTTATTTTTCTTATTTCGAGTAATCTGAACATGTTATCTTTCAAGAGTTAGTTCCATGCTTCATGCGGTGTTATGTGCCCGTTCATCTCCAACTCCAGCGAAGATATTGTGCCCCTGGGGGACTCACGGAGCCGAAGTCCAGTTGTTGGTAGGAAAAGTTGTTCAAGTCCGGGTTGATGGTCTTGTTCAGGTTGTCATGTCCGGGGTAGTGGTCTCAGAGGTTTCTTTTTTGGTGTGCTGCCTTCCACATGGCAAAGACTTCCCTCCTGGATTCAGGCGACTTGATGATGTTGGCGAAGTTCCATGGTCTTGTTGCTCCAATGATGTCCAAGTGACGCTCCAAGTCGTTCAGCAGATCCTGATGTGCAGGACACTCTAGAATTGCGTGATGGAGTGTGTCTCTCTCTCCGCTGTCAGGGCACGCATCCAAGTCCGTCTTCTCAAAGCGAAGGAGGTAGGTGGCGAATGCTCTAAGTCCACTTAGTAGCTGAATCGAAGTGTGGTCTAGGTCCTCGTTGATCCCTGTTGTGATGCTGGGGAAGAGGTCATGGGTGAATCTACCCGTAGTAGCGGCATCCCACTCATTCTGCCACTGCAATCTGAGCCTGGTAATGATCAGACTCTTGGTGTCATTCCTGAGCCCGCTCCTGCGTTCACAGAGTTCCCTGTCTTGCCTGATCTTGAGGTGCAGAGGGATGTTGTTGGTGAGGACACACAATGCCTGAAGTGATGTGGTACGATATGCTCCAGTTTTGTACGACAGTACTCTTTTTTGAGCTTCTAGGAGTTGTCTCTTGACGTGAACTTGATCAATCCTGAAGTCCCAAGCCCTTGAGGCATACGACATCACTGGTAAGAAAACAGTCCTGTATAGGAAGTTTATTCGAGAGAATCTAACTCTATACTTCAGCCTTTTAAATCTGGCCAGTCTCCCAAAGAGGTTTATAGCCTTTGATCCAGTCTCCTTCACATGATTGCAGAAGCCGAGATTGTGTTCAAGGAACACTCCCAAGTACTTAGCTTGTTTCTCGAATTTGATGGTCTGTCCATTTATCCTTATAGTAGGAATTCTAAGTTGCAAATTTTTCCCCTTCAGGGTGACCCCAACCGTCTTGTTTATGGAGATCTCCATCTTGGTATCATTTGCCCATCCTGTTAGAATGTCGCATACATTGTTGCCAGTATCCTCAATTTGTCTTCTTGAGTCTCCCTCGACGATGAAGGCGACATCATCAGCAAAAGCTATTTTGGTTACTTCATCACCAAAGTTCCTGTCTAGCAGGCCATCAAATGTGATTTTCCACAGTAGTGGACCCAATACCGACCCCTGTGGGGCACCTTTACTCATTTGTTTAACTAGCCTCTCACCAT